AAGAAGTTGGACAGTGATTGATAATCGCGTATATGAAACTGTATAATATTTCAACAAAAAATTAATTTTATAGGCTATTAATTCCAGAAATTGGAGATTGATCCATAGAGACTAGACAGGAAAACGTTTTAATTTTGGCGAGAGTAATTCTGTGAAGAATATTTGTGCTCCAAAAGACTGTCGGAGGATTTTTGAACGCAATGTAAATCAAACGTTACATCCGCGAGAAAATCTTTAAATGACCTTCGCAATGCTGCACGATCATCTGTTGATGATAAAAGGGTGGCGAGACCATCTTTACGGTCGTGTGCTACCTTCATATTCTGATAAAGCTGCATATAACTCATCATCCATTTACGTATAAAATAATCTCATCGAACACATTATAATAGCAGCCGCTCCACGGGTCAATTATATCAAGAGATGTTATCTCAAGCTTTTCGCATTCCAGATTAAAATCCCAACAAGTTCCCCCAGTTCGTTATTAGATCGCAATCTTTTATTTACGACAGCGGTTTTCATATTATTCCACAAAGAGTTCTACAAGCCGTTGTCCAGAGAAATCTCTTAAATATGAGAGAAAAACCTGATCAACGTGACCACTTGGCGAAATTTTGTTCGCTTCTTCGCGAGCGTTGAAGCTTGAGAATCGCTGATCTGATTCGACACGAATAACGGAAGACATTTCTTCACGACACGAATAACGGAAGAACGCGAGGAAAGATTTGGAGCCCGACGCACGTCGGCAGTTGCGGCGATCTCCCGCCGAAGTTAGACATAAAATTCCAGAGTCGCTATTTCGGCGTCATTTCGAGCGAAATTCAGCCGCGTCCTCGCGTAAGTCATTCCCGCGGGAAATCTCATTTCGCGAAATAAAGGAATTCTTCGGAGGTGATCCCAGCTGCTGCCTCCTCACCAATAACCACCACGTGTGAGCTCAAATCGATCAAGGTTCAATCGCGATGAATCGCGCATGGAAGTGTTGGGCCGATTAATCATCGTCCGCTCCAACGGCTTACCTCGCAACGAGGCACCCTTGAGTTCTTCCAGCGCGATCCGACGCATCCCTTGCATTCCTGGTGCGCATTTCCATCCGGCTTTTCGCTACGAAGCTCTCGAACGGCATCGCGACATTCCGGCGCGGCACTAGGGGTTGAATTTCGAGTCAACGTGGACCGCCCACGCATGTACCTTACGTTCTTACGTGCATTATCGAATCGCGTGTGTGTACATAATCGTGTGCGCGATATACACGATTGCACACATACACACACCTGCAAAGCATACCGACGCACGCGAAGATATAGCGGGGGTGCGCGCGTCGATCGACAACACCGGTGGTGGTCCAGGTCTGTGTCTGGCCGGCTTCCTCGGTTTATATGGACCAATCGCGTCGCGCCTGAAGAAGGGGAGAAAATCAATAGCCCGCGGAGGCGGCACACCGGGGTGACGTCAGCCATGCAACCCGACGATCGACCGATGCGACGCAGGCGGCGCCGGCCAATTTCCACGGAGCAATCAATAAGTAAAGATATTCAACGACGACATCGCCGACGGTACCACATATGTGTACGTACACACACGCACACACATAAATATGCGCGAGAGAACAGCGAAACGGTCCGATATTCTCCCCCATCGACGTCAACGTCGATTAACTATACAAAAATCTTCCCCTTCACGCGTCGTCTCGGAGGCGAATTATTAACGTGTAAAGCGTCCGCGCGTGCGAAAGCGTCGCTGTCGCGTCGCTCGGCGATCACCTCGCGGAATGCTTCGATATGATATAGTTCCGAGAATGTACGAAGTTTTGAGTTATAAAAAATTTAACGAAGCGAGTCAACGTCTTCTCGTTATTACTTCGCTTGTACCGTAGAATGCGACTATTGAATAAATAGAACAGTGAACGTGTATGTAAATACTAAATTCTTCAGCTTGCTAATTTTCTTTCTTTCACAGATATTTGAATTAATTTGGAATTAATTTTTCCTTAAAACTTTGATCGAGCGTTATCTATTTTGTACATTAAAATACTGTTTCAAGATTTCTTTTAATTTATTGTTTTATCTAAAATTGTTTTCCTGAAATCTATTTTTCGATTTTTCTACTTTTAAAGTTTGAGTTTTTATTGAAGAAAGAAAATTTGGTGGCGCTTGGCAAAGTGCGGATTAGAAAAAATTTATTCATATAAAATATCAAATTTGAAATTTGCAACTTTATAGAATAGATTTCTATCGATTTCTTTTAATTCGCTGATATAGCTAAAAATGCATATGTATGCTTATGTGAAAAAATAATATCTAAAATAATTATTTTCAGAGAAAACTTTTTTAGTTGTTCGAAAACAATTTCAGTTGAAGTGAAAATCCAATATTTTATGACAGGATGTTCGAAAATTGGAGCAGTCGGTTTTAGCTAACACTGTTTTGTTGAATTTAAGCAATTTTAACTTCTGAAAATATGATTGGATGTTATCTATTTTTGCAGCTCCTGTATTTTCAATGATGTTTTAAATCTAAATCTTATTAACATTCAAATTACCTTCTTTTCTATTATTTTATTAAAAGTCAGTTTAAAAATATGCAGAATAAGTTTCATTGTTTATTTATATTTATTACTCATATTTAATCGTTTATAGGTCAACGTCTATTTATATTTCTAAGTTGAATTGACATTTTTTGTCGAGAAAAAAACAAAATAACTACAGCTGAATAAATCATTTATTAAAAAAACGACAGCTTTATGAAATATCAAACATACACATTTCCTTTTTCACCTCTTTCTAATAAATAAAATATTATTACACGTTATTTTAGTACATCGATATACGCGTGTCGATATAAAGCGTCTATCGTCCAAAATAATACATAGATCTAATGGAAGACCATGATTGATTAACAAACAAGTGAAAATTTTATCTATAAGAATCGAACGTGCAATACTAAGAGCTTAATGTATAACCCTATTATTACCGAAGCCAGGAATTATGTGTGTTCTGAACGTTCTACGTCGTCCAAAATATCGACTCTCGTTAACGAATTAGCGGTCACGACTCTCGAAACATCGATTACGACTGACCTACCCTAGCCCTCGCACTTCGTTTATATTGCGGAGCATCGCCTGTGGACTACCATACTCGTCGAACCCTTTCTCAATCCTCTCTATATCTCATCACCCATCTTTGTCCCGTGGGTCAAATCATTATCTCCACGCCATTTCGCTTCAGTCAATCCGAAGGTACCCCTCATAACGACCTATGACGGGAGCGCAAGGGTCGCGACACAACGACTGATGAAACAGATTGACCGCAAATTGGTGTGTCATGGAAATTTTCGAGCAAATTTGACGTCAGTCTTTCGGAACAGAAATATTATGGTATCACAGTTTTCGAGTTCAATTAAAAAAAAAAATCAATGGTCTTTTTACGAATCGCGCGCCTCAGTAAAATCTTACAAGATATTTCTAATAAGAATGCATTATTCCCCGTCAAAATCGTGTATTTTAATTCAAGTACTCGTTCCTCAAACAATTCAATATTTTTAAAGCGTTGATCGTCGACTGTCTTTCTATGCCACGATTCGTTTTCTGCCGATAGAAAAGTTATTGAATTTGCGCGAGTAATCGATTATCCCTCCAAGTCTTGCAGTTATTCGCGTTTGAGCTTACAATATTATCCTTCAGTTAATTTCAAATAAATTTTATATACATCAAATATTAATTGAGGTTTTTAAATTTACAATAAAAAATTACGTCGTGAAAAAGTGGTGTCCATTAAAATTCTTATTTAAGGTTACGAGAACTAGAAGTAATAAGATGGAAAATAATTAACTTACAACAATAAGGCGAAGCTATCCAAATCTGTACTCTTTACCTCCTTTGTATTTTTTTTTTTTTTATATAAAAAGATGCTATCGTCAGCACAGGGCAGACAGTTTACGATAAATGGCAAAAACTACTAATAGCTACAAGAACCATCCAACCAGACTGCAGGTGTGTAAAGGATAAAATAGATGAGTAGCTCGCCATACAATATAAAAACCCGAGATTCTTTTTTGCAATGTCGGATAATGATCAACGTATCAAAATTTTTTTCAGTTTCTTTTTTAGTTCGTTTCGGACATTGACCTCACGTCTGTTGAAGAATGTGAAAAATATTCCAATAATTAAACATAAAAAGCATACGCGAATATCTATTCCTGCGTTATCAATACATCGTTCATCGTAGATCTTTACATATATTCTTTGCTCTTATATTTCACCCCTATGTTTCAACCCTTAATATAACGCGAATCGCTCGGAATAACTGCGAGAAATTCAGGCTGTCGCGATCGACCGCCTTCTTGCACTACTAGTTGCGAGAAACTGTAGGCGATGGTTTCCGGTAAGCAGAAATTCTCGCAATTTCTCACAATTCCGCGAATATAATGTATGCTTTCATGATATAGATGATATAGATCATACGATTTCAATAAATTTTCTATTGTATTTCAATTAATTTTAATTGCGCAAGCTGACCTTTGTAAAAGCACGCGTGTGACTCATTAATTTGTAATTGCGTTTCCAACTACGGAAAATCTTAAATCACGCAAGTGCAAAATCAGACGTCAGAATCGAATAAAAATGAAGATGACGCTTTAACATTAAGAATAAAAATCTGTGTTTTCGACGTTTGTTTTAGAATTGCAAATAAAATGATTCATTTCCGATATGTTTGCTCCAAAGTGACAAGATGACAAAGATGAGTCGGCTCTTGACGTTTCGAAAACGTTCGATGTCGTGCCGTCGCGTTCGTCGACGGTATATATAAATAATGGTCGTTTAAATATAAATAATTAAAATCCGCCGCGATCAGCAGCACACAATGTTGCACTTACGAAGCTTTTACTCTTCGTCGTTTGTAAAGACGCGCGATCACGAGCGTACACGTCGCTCTTGTTCAGCCGTAAATCACGCAACACAAGTAGTAGCACGTACGCGAGGGAAAACAATCGGACACTCACCAGATATGCAGGCAGTGACGTGAAAACAGCTGAGCTCCTACGGCCATACTGGTTCCGCGATCGTTTTCTCGCAAGCGGCGAGCGAACGTGCACACGTTGAACGTCGCGACGCCACTCGGTGGCCCGACTCCTCGGCGCGACGACTCCTCGACGTCCGATCGATTATCCAAGCCGTGCGGCTTAGAACACTGCTCGTTTTACTCCGCGTCCCTCTTCGCACTCCAACCTACTATAAACGGTTACTATAAACGGCGTCGCGGCGCTGCCGCCGCGTCTTTTCATTTGACACTTCTCGCATTGACTTGCGCACTTGCCATCAAGTCGCGCACTCTTCAAAAGGATAGAGATCGTGATCTCGCTCTCTCCCCGCACACAAAGATAACGTTGTTTTGTTTTCTGAGACTCTTAGATGAATCATAGAAATTTTCTGCTGATTTCTGAGACAGTCGTTTTTCCTGTAGTTCAGATAATCCCAAGTTTTTTAGACATATATGACTAACAATCAATTCCATCTTTAAAATGTTTCTTTCTCTTATACTTGTATCGTTTGATTTCAAAAATTTTTATTTTTGTTAAAATATATAATAGAGAAAATTATCACTTCTGACTGAATACAGAAGAATAAAGATCAAGAATATAAAAATAATCTGCGATTTATTTAATTTGAATTAATCCTATTTCGAAGAATTAAAAAATAAATTTTTAACATTTTTTCTATTTCTTTTCTTCTTTACTCATTTCTATGTATACTTTTTATTTCAAATACATTTCGTCAAATAAGAATGAGATATAAACTCTGTGATCCTTAAATATATTAAATTTCTTTAATATCCTCAGAGTGCGTTCTTCACATTTTTAAAATAAATATCTTTACAATTTAAAAAAAATGTAACACTATTTGTTCCATAAATGCATATTTTATATGTAGTAACTTGTGCAAACGAGAAAAAAAGATGATTATGCACTTATGAGCTATTACTGTAATAAAAGTAGGATTTGCTACACTAGTTTTATTCTACAATTCTAAGGCTAACGCATAATAATGCTAGACATATCTTTTACATAAGTTTTACTTATTACTCATTCTTAGTCACACAAATTTATCGTACAATCTAGAAAAGAAAAGCATATGGAAAATCACAGGCGCGTTATCGAATGTAACAAAAATTTATGACAAACCTCAATCCTAAAAGTGCCAGTCTAAAAAATCCACTTGTACATCATCATATTTAAAACAGGTTTACACATTAAACTGTTGATTTTTAGCAGCCGGAGGCACTTTTAAAGCGCGCGTTTACATCCTTCCAATTAACAATGTCAAAGATTGCTTTCACATAATCGGGTCGTACGTTTTTATATTGCAAATAGTAGGCATGTTCCCATACATCAATGCCGAAAAGAGGCACAAGACCAGTTGTGGCCTGCAGCGGATCCTGATTTGCGCAGGTCGCTATTCTAAGCGACTTTGCTTTCTGATCATATCCAAGCCAGCCCCAACCAGAGCCCTGAATCGCTACGGTTGTCTCGGATAAGCGTTTTTTCAGTTCCTCCAAGCTGCCAAAGTCTTTTTCGATTTGCTTCACAAGGGTAGCTAAAAAATAAAATTTGATCAATAAGATTCACCAAGTAACACTTGGCTAAGACTTAATGCTCAATGTAATTTGACTCTTTTACATGCAGTTTGATGTAAACTTTAAAAGACTTTAAAAAAAGAAAGAGTTACTTTTTATCTAATTACATAAAGTCAATTTAAACGTTATTTAAATATTTCTTATATTACCATCAGGATCACTGCAATTGGGTGAAAGATTGCACCAGAAGATTGAATGATTAAGATGACCACCACCGTTGAACTTGATGGCTGGACTCAGAGCAATCTGTGTACTGACGTCACCTTTTACAACTGCCTCCTTTAACTTCTCCTCAGCGATATTCAGATTATTAACATAAGTTGCGTGATGCTTGGAATGATGAAGCTGCATGATTTCTGCGGATATAATTGGTTCCAAAGCCTTATAATCATAAGGCAGCTCCGGAAGTGTGTGCTTTGATCTTGCAAACACATCCTTGCTGCAAAATATTATTATAACAAATAAGATATGTGCTGTGTATACAAAAAATGTGCAAATTAAAAGAACTGTCTAATGTGGTTTGCTAAATTTAAACTCGGAAATATTAACCTTTAAAAAACACAAGAACACCTCAAGAACCATGAAAAACACTCTGGCTAAGCGTTCATCATTGACGATTAAATAAATAGTTATGATTAATTAAAAGTCACTGTTAGAAAAAAATTAGTACAAAACTATTTCAACAAACTAATAGTAGGTTAGAAGTTACATAATATGTAAAAAATACAGTAAAATTCAAAGTGGATTTGTCATATTTACATTGTATTGGAGACTAGAAGACGCCTTGCTGCAAACATGATAATTTACAAATTATATTCGAAAGTAATTTTATACCCTTTTTAATATCCTTCGTTCTATGGTAGAATATTAAGCGTATATCAGCGCGAATTTGCAGGAACTAATTACCACATCCTGTTATACCGACGAACGTAGAATTTGTAGAATCATGTTATCGATAGCCGCAAAAATAAAAATCTAGTTAGCAGAAATATTCCTTCCTAGAAACTAATTTCTAAAAAACAAATCTGAAATAATATAAAATAATATAATAAATATAAGAATTATACGCACATATGTCTAACATGTTAAAAACATTGTTAAATTTTCTCTTTTACACAATGGATATTTCTATACTATTAAGTAACAGTATGCAATTCCATTTTTAATTCTATGTCAGCATACTTTTTAACGTGAGTGCAAATTAATATTTAGATATTCTACATCATATAAGTAAAAAGTAAACAAACAAAATGCAATTCTAATTTCTTATAAAAATGCAACTTATTTAAAAAATTTTAAATTATATATAAAGAAAATAGAGTATTATATTTGAATTAGAAAATGCGTGCATAAAAACCTTTATTTTTAATTGTTTATAATTCAGAAATTATATTATTATATCTGCATGATTTTCTAAAGGAAGAATATCTAATAATAATGGCACTATACAAAATATTTGTAGGATGGATTATCATGTAGACTTTGGAATACGTTTTAATATAAATTTCTGCATCTGATGTCTTGTCTTTCTTCAGCACATAAACTGAAAACAAAACTAAAAACGCAAGTTTAAAAAAAACGACGATATAAAACAAGTTTACATATGTAAAGGCAATATAAAATATTATGTATCTCATATAAACGCTTTGTACAATTCTTTTAATTTAAAAAAATTAAAAATGTAAATTTAATATATTAGGCTGTAAGAGATCAATCTCCATGTGTACATCACTAAAAACAATGCTATTTGACATCTTAAATTATTCGTATATCTTTTCCAATTGTCTGATAAAAGAGAGAAATAAAAACGTATGTTACATACACAGTTTTAAAATACGATTTCACGTTGCATGTACATGCGAATTGTTACGTATTAATATTATGTAATATTGATGCATGTTTGTGTACCTGAAAGTAATAAGATTTATCTATTTACATAACAGGCATGTGTGTTGTGGTCACAGGCATTTTTGATTAATTCTCGACAATACTCTCTTCGGATGATGATTTTTTTACTGATTAACGAAAACTTACTGATTTACACAGAGAATGTTAATACAATAAATTTACAAAATATAAACAAAATTCGATTTCTTCCTTACAGCATTCGACTCTTATAAATTGTAGGGCAATAAACCTACTCAGATTCGTTTGGTATATCTTTGCAATATAATTTGTAACTTGGTCGTTCACAAGTAACTTGACATAAACGATCGTTGACTATATAAAGAATCGCGAACTTTATATACCAATCTAATGGTATAAAAGTATTTACAAGTTTGTCACTTTAGAGACCAATCTCAATATTTATCATTTCAAGTTATCACCAGTACAGGTACTGAAATTACGTCTCTTTATGGCTAATTATTCATTATTCTTCGAACACTGTCTCGCAAACGACCGACGTTGCTTTAGACGAGAAATTTTGTACACAGTAACGAGTGAATGTGTCAAAATCATATCGCGAATTTTTACCATATCAATAGTTAATGTCATTTGAAACCAACCTAAAATATCGGTCATTCTGGATCACTCTGCAGAGTCTCGCCATTAGTTAAAACCAACGCGTCATCATCGGCCTCGTTATAATCGAGAGAAAGAATACTTTCCCTTCGTTTCTTCTTGTGCGTCCTTTCATCATCACTACTGGCTGCACTTTTCTCTCTCTTTGTCCTATCCCTACCCCGCGTAGTTCGCGCGAGTACCTCTTCCCCGTTCGATTTACCACTATTCCTGCTGTGATTTTTACTCCTCAATATTCGTTTGTTCCGACTCTCCTCGTGCTCCTCCTCTCTATCACTAAGCTCCTCGTTCTCGACCTTAATAATTAATGCCGCGGAATCGCTAGAACTCTCGTCATTATGATCGGCCTGATTAAGTATTCTTTCTGCACGTTCTGTTCTTTCGACACTCGTAAGCTCACTCTGAGGCGACGACAACGGTGGAGTCCTTACATCTTTGCACATGTCACTTTCCTCCGCCGGTTTCGGAACTTTTGTATCTGGTGCAGCAGTTTCTTCCGCTTCCTCCTTTTTGATCGGTGGCGTATGGGGTGATAAGCCGTTTGACAAATTATTCTCGTTTGTGTTCGCCTTCAATGATGCGTTCTCCTGTTGCAGTAGCGTGACAGATTCTCGAGCCTTACGTAATTCTTGCTGTAAGAAGTAGATGGTACTCTGCATACCCTCCACATCTTCGTCTAAATCCTGGAGAAATTCGTCTAATTCTGCAAAATAAAAGAAAATGCCTGAGTTTTACATTTCAATTACGAGACCAAATTTTAATTATAATAATGACTTTATACGAGTCTGTGAAATCGGTGAACATTTAACAGCCTGATATACCTGATTGTGACTTCTTTACTTCTTCGCTGAAACTCTTCTGTAGAGCGAGTTCGCCTTCCAACTTAGCGATACGTCCACTGGCAATCATACGACCGAGTTCTTCATTTTCTTGGTACAACAATCTACATTTTGCCATTAATCTTTTCCCTGTATTGCTGTAAGTAAAATATATAATAAGTAATGAAAACTATGTGTAACATCGTTTATGCATATATATATTCGTTTTTCGAACCTGTCAGGGGTAAACTTCCATGCGCTTAGTTCATTTTGCGTATCCTCTAATTTACCCTTGGTTGTTATTAATTCTTGCCTTAATTTCTGTATCAATATATTAACAGCCGGATCTAATAGAGCAGACCTTAATGCAGCTGCGGACGGAGCTTGGGTGGCTTTCATTTCAGTTATTTGATTCTAATAAAAAAATTATTTTTTTCATAGAATTACATAACGTTGATAAAGGTAAGTTGTACAAAGAAATTGTACTAGAATTTCAATGCATACAAAATGTTTACATACAATATACTCCTGCAATTCCTGCTCTTTAGAGGCAAGCCTCCTCACTAAGATTTTTTCCCTGTGAGATGCTTCTACATATTGCTGTCTGTACTTGTTTTCGGATTCTCTCAATGAACCTAGTTCACCTATAAAAGAATTATCTATAAATTTCTCTTTTTCTAGATTCTATGTCTTTTTTGGCACCTATGTGTTTCTTAAAAATGTAATAATTTTACAGTACATGTAACAATTTTTTTAGAAAAATATTTCTCGCATTTAGAGTAAAATAAAACATCGCATTATTTTTAAAATGATTACAGTGGAATAATGGAAAATATGTATTATGAAAAAATACAATACATTCACATACACGTATATATAAATAAAAAAAATATATTTTAAACTTGTGTTTTATTTATTTTTTCAAAATGCAATTAGCAATTGTATCATGTTTTGTGTATCTTTTCAAATCTGTTTTCTTTTGTTTTATGTATAAACAATTTCATTTTTAGAAAAAGAGATGAAAATCTAATTTTCCACTTAATAAACCCTGTGATTAAAGTAAACATTCGTAATACACGTAAACAAATTTAAAACAACAATTTTACACGTGTAAAAATGCTTTGAATAACTCGGAAAATTATTAAAAAATAATTCATTAAATAAAATCACTGATAATTTCTACTTGTAGCTATATCTTTTATACCAATTTTGCATACTATTCTAATAGCACCAAAAAATTTGTTTTATAATATTTATCGTTTTCAGAAGACAATTATTAATAAATAAAATTTATTATCTCAAAAAAATATAAGCATATACTTCATTTATTCCACTGTAATTTTTATAACAATAGTATATCTGTGAGTTAAAAAAGAATTTGTTTTTTTCCCATAACTGTAAAAATGAATATAAAACAGTAATAATTTTCTATGCTCTAGTACATTTTTATAATTGAGAATACAAATTTATGAATCACATAGAATGCTCGAAACCTTTGACCGTAAATGTACAGTGTAACTGTATAGAATATTTTGTAAAGTTTTCATATGTAATGTGTGTTCTCGGTAGAATCAAATGTATTAGTGAAAAATGACTAAATTTATCATTTTTTTTAACCTAAGTGCGCATAAACTATATACTTTCATAAGTATGTGACAATGACTGCCTGACAACTGACATTGTTAATTGGCGCATACTTTGATTTTGAAGTCGTTGCGACGTGCCATTTGCGAGATTCTCTGTACTTCCACCGAGACCAAGAGTGGATGTTACTTTTCTTCCACAAGAATCAAGCGTGTACTGTTGCAGGCACAGATGTTGTACTGAAACGCTGGCCGGGCTTAACTCACAGGTTTTACTTTTGAAATTCGTATCTGACATCCGGACATTATGGTGCAGGTAAATGCATGCACAAGTTGCATTTGTGGTGAAAATGGAAGGGAAGATTGGTCTAGGAATTGATTAGAAATGGCGTTATTCAACAGAAAGGGTTTAGGGACAAGATAATATGCAAGGATACATAGATTGGAGAGATGGATAGTGGGAGATAGGTAGTGTTCCAGTTGGTGACGGTGATTGTGGTTGCGTACTTCACCGAAATTTAAATTCACGCACCCCAGGTGCAGTATTTTGCAGGCCAAAGGGGGTGGCACGGATCCACTCTTATTATTCTTCTGAGTCGTAAAATTCAGCGCCATTGTAAACGCTGCTTTTCATCTCATCCTCGTTAACTAGAAACTCGGCATTTCGAATTACACGCACGCACACACTGTCCTCAATTGGGCGATAAAATTATTACACTGCAGAGATATACGCGATGCACTGCACAGGCACTTATGAAATGATATTTTCAGTTGTGCCTTCCACAATGAACATATTGACGGCAGACACGTTTTTTTCTTTTTCTTTTTTTATAGAGAAACCCCAATTGGCGCCTCTTGACACACATTACACTTGTTATATCAGCCTTTTTCACTTTTACTTGATAATTATGCTTTTCATGGCTGATTAGGTAACTGCTCACATGAAAATTTAATTGACTAAATATATCTCGGCTTTTGTAAGCCATAAATGTGGCTGTCACTCCACTTGTGTTCACAAATACCTTGAGCATTTTTCGTTTTACGTCACGTTAAATATGAATTTTTAAATTAATTATCCACACTACACATCACAAATGTAGTTTTGGAAATTAATATATAATCAAATTGTCACTGTACGCAAAGCGCGTAATCTCAGTTCTATACTAATCTCTCTCTAGTACTTGTGTAGATACATAAGGTAATTCAATCGCATGTGTACTAAGCTGCCTCATAGAGCAATAAAGATTTCATATTTTTATATACCTACAAGTGAATTACTTATTTACTAGAGCTCTCTCATTGACTTAATCCTAATAAACAAATTAACAACGGTATCCTAAACACTGGTCTAATGAACCCTATGCTTAGTGTCCCTATAAGAGTCTTATAAAAGACCGTTGTGTTCTGGCATTCATAAATTCGCTTAAGATATGTGGTGAGTGAGATGGTCTCACTCATGTGATCTCAGTACCTTCCTGAGCTGCCGCCTGAGCTTCTAGACACTCCACATAAATATCCTGTTCATGCCATTTGACTGCCAGCTCATCCTTTGTCAAGCTGTCCAATTGTTGCTGAGTTAGTTTCACCCGTCTTGGTTGCCTAGGAGAATGCGGACTGCTGGGCTTTCCACCAGTGCTGCTGCTCTGTGGACTCCTTGGTGAAGATGGTCCTGCTGATTTGACCTCGCTGCATTCATCTGCCATTTCACCACTTTTGCAGTTGAATGTTGAATTGTAGAAGAGGTCTTTATCCAGCACAAAATCTTCTTGTCATTAATGTAATGCTGATGATTGTATGCTATTGATTGAATACCGCAATGTGATTTTTTGATATTAGAAGATATTCATCTGAAACATAGAAAAACAGTACAGAAATATCAGACATAATATAGAAATTCTATACAAAATTATGAGCTATTTCATATAACGCAATTATGTGACATACATTGCTTCTATTAAATAATCTCATTTATCTGGTCTTGTTTCAAAATTAACAATAAATGCTTAAGTAATTCTGTAATGTAGACATGTGACATTATAGCACAATAAGGTCAATTTCAAAATCTGATGGTTACATCAAACATTGTACATGGTCTAATAACCAATAGGTCACTTCATTAGACGCTTATCCACACTATTATATTAAAATTATCTATTTGTTTACATGTTTACAGAGATAAAAAGACATTTTTAAGAATTAATAAGAATACAATGCATCCATTCTGATTTTCTTCTCTATTCAATTCAATCGCAATATATATTAAATCCGATTTGAAAATATCAGGCGCTCTCTCTCTCTCTCTCTCTCTCTCTCTTACTCTCTTTCTCTCCCTCTCTCGGAAATTGATCGATACGCCTATCTGTAAAAACGCTACGCGATATACGCATGGTGCTCTCCTAATAAAGTACGATTACACGAAATGCCCACGGAAACAATATTCATATCGTTAGTAATCTGCCGTTGCAGTACATGATTAAGAAAGCAGAGAATGCATTTATCTCTAGTCGAAGACAGTCGTGACGCCATTACGTCGACATGTCTGCCACGAAGGAACATACTTACACACTTGCATTCATTTTTTTTCACTCGTATCTTTCCTTTATCTCCATTTCAGACCGCCAAATGTAACAATGCTGTATACTATCATCACACCTATGATTTCAAATTAGCGCGAAACAATGGACTCGACAAGCTAATTCACGACGATCATCGTCACACAATCTACGACAGCATTCCGTGAAATTTTCGCCCGTTAAAACTTTATCAACCTACCTCATCCATTAGACCGGCACAGATCCCATTACAACGAAGATCGTTTGCTTGCTCGGTATCAGGAGAAAAACGAACCGTCTGACATCATGCGTGCGAAGAATCGTGCATTCGTAGAAAAAGCGCGAAACGGATTCTCGGTGTGCGGCAAACTTCCCGATCGATCAATCCGAACGGAGCCGAACACACGAAGCAATGCGTGAAGTACGTAGCTCTCAACCAAGCGCTCTACGGTTTTCAAACGCGATGCATTAATACATGACATACAACGAAGAAATCGGTCACGAAATCTCGGAAACACAACGCACTCCGTTGTGATCAGAAACGCTTGTAACTAATCGCAAATGACAATCACCTCGCGGACCGAAAAGAGGGAATCGGAACCACGGAATATTCAAACCAAGATGGACGTTTTTCCATGTTAATCACGAGGTTGATACCAGCGCTACCAATACACACGAGTGCGTATTAAAACTAGTCTTACCCTATCCACAACCAGTTAGATCCTAGAAGTGGTACCCTAGTAGTGGTATATATATAGAGATCAGTGACAACGATCGACGGCAGATGGCAGAATGTCTTTGGGAATGTTGCACGTGTTACGTTGCCATAATTTAGCGAAGCTTGTTACTCCGTCACTGTTCGTAGCGGCAAGCAGGCCGGTTTTAAGACAATTTGCCGCATCTAAGAAACTTTACCGAAACATGTCGTACACAACTATCGAGAGGGGTGCGCTCAACACTACAGATTACAGATTATTTTTCAGTAAGTAAATTTGATATATAATATGCTCATCTTCGATCGCAGAAGACCGTGAATTCCATAAGGTCGCGAGGTCACGAACGCATGTTCGTCGCAGTTTGCTATTGACTATTCTTATGTATTAGTGAATGACTGTCTCGACTGATTTAATAATATCTTGAATAATATCACATCATTGTGTAAAGTTTCATGCATATTCTGAAATTGATGAGTTGTTGAATATAATTAAGGAGTCATATTCGAATCGGTCGTATGAATCATTTTTTAATAACTGAATTTCAACTGAATTTCCTGGATGAACTTTGTTCATTCTGCATTACTTATATATGATGCACTTCACGAAGGAATATTGATTTTTAATCCTCGGCATACCATTAGAGTCCATTGAATCTCATTTCAGTTTTTCAGCTTCTTATTTTGAGCAATTTCGAATTTGTAAAGATTAATATTTTATGACTTTTATTTTTACTTTTGTTATTTGTATGGTAACTTAAAGATATAAAAAAATTAAAAGGGTTTATATTTGAAAGGTTAAAATGATAGCTTTATTGCAACTATACATTGATATGACTGTCTGACATTTACTTTAGTCTGGTTTAAATGAAAGTATCTGAAAGTATTGAAAGTGAAGAAATAGTTTTGATCATATATTTCAAACATGCATATATCAGAAGCTTTTTAGAATGTCCGTATATGCATTAATATATTCTACATTATTCTCAATATTATCAATATTTTTAAAAATGTATTTTTATTTTTTCACATATAGAAAACGAGCTGGACGTACCAATTTCACCTATGCATGACATTCCACTCTATGTTGACGAAGACACTAAAACAATGCACATGGTTGTTGAAATACCAAGATGGACAAATGCCAAAATGGAAATCTGTCTAAAAGAGACTTTAAATCCTATTAAGCAAGATGTTAAGAAAGGTAAAGTGAGATTTGTTGCTAATTGTTTTCCTCATCATGGATACATATGGAATTATGGTGCTTTGCCACAGGTAAGAATTTTGGCACCTGTATTCAATCATTTGTAACTAAGATATTGAATTATACTTTAGATGTAAATAAATTGTTATTTATATTTTGCTTAAGGTATGCTAAATCATATAAGACAATAGTGATTAATTTGATTTTTATGAAAACAGCACAGTTGTTATTATTATTTCAAGTTCTTATTTCAAATAACATGAATCATTATCTTGTTTTTCTATCTCCTTAAAAATATTTGCCTATTTCTCTTGACAAGGTATTTATAAACATATTTATATAAACATTTTTTTTTATTTTCAAGAATTGGTAAAAGTTTGACCAAGTAATTTATTTATATCTTGTATATGTTAAATATCTTGAATATTAGCATTTTTTATATTAGATTAATATTTTTGCATACTTTTATTATTCATCAAGATAAACTATTACTATTTTTATTACATTAAATGATGACACTCGATAATATTTGTAATTTAATAATAAATCTTATTGATAAAAGGAAATATGAGCAATTAAACGGAATATAAGTGTATATCTGTATGTAATATCTTATCAAGTTCCCTATATTTTATACACATATGAGCTTGTAGTTCAAGGCTTATACTTATCACCGTCAATAATTTTTTGTATCTCTTTGGACTTTATCTTACGTCACTCGTTAGTCACTCGTTGTTATATACGCTAGTTTCTTGAGAAAGGAGACAACTATATTATTAAAAGTTGTTGAGTATTGAAATTAATTTTTTTATTATTTATTATTATAAAAAAAATAATTATATTCTAAAAGTAGGTAATAGGAAAAATTTTTAAGCTTTTTAAAGATTTTTATTTTTTTGTTTCACTGTAAAATCTCAAACTGCACTCAAACTGCATTAAATAACATATTTAATTAACAGACTTGGGAAAATCCTGACGTTTTGGATGAAGCAACAGGCTGCAAAGGAGATAATGATCCTATTGATGTTCTTGAAATAGGTTATAGGGTGAGATATAATCATATTTACATATCTCGTATATATAAATCTCGTTTATCACATAGTTAATACTAAAGGAAATATTTGTATCTATTATAGGTTGCAAAACGAGGTGAAGTATTGAAAGTAAAAGTGCTTGGAACAGTAGCACTTATTGATGAAGGTAAATACTTAAATAGAAATTGCTAAAAAAATATAATATATACGTAACATATTAAAATAATTTATAAAACAAATTTTGTAATACATTCTATTGTGAAAAATTTTTATTTTAGGTGAAACAGATTGGAAGATTATTGTAATTGATGTTAATGATCCTTTGGCGGATCAAATGAATGGTATATATGAATGCTATATGAATTCTCTAATTAATATTTATTTATCGATGTGCAATATTTATACATTTATTATATAATAGAAATAGACATATGGATTTAATAAGATACAATTACTTTCTTCAATTTTAGATAATTTTTTGAGCATGCAAAAGGTTATAGGTTTTTAGAAATAGACTTCTATGTCACTAATCTAATCTTTAATCTAATAAAAATCATTACAGATATAAGTGATGTCGATAAGCATTATCCAGGCTTATTAAAAGCCACAATTGAATGGTTTAAGATATATAAAATTCCGGATGGAAAGCCGGAGAATCAATTTGCATTTAATGGTGAAGCAAAACCACGAGATTTTGCATTGCATATTATTGATGAAGTACATCAACATTGGCAAAATTTAATTAAACAAGAAACTCCGTCCAGTGGAATAATATGGTTCGTAAGTCTTAGTATTTACAAATTGTCTTTAATGGAGCAATTAAGATAATGCCTTTCTGTTGTGTTTGCAGTTCTAATGTAACTGTAGATGGTAGTCCTTTTATGATCACCGCAGATGCTGCTAAAGAGGTTTTAGAAAAGGCACCTGAGTCAGTGGAACCTCAACCTGTAGAACCGATAGGTAAGTTATGCAAATAAAGCGATAGAAATGAATATAAAAGTTTTTGTTTTATACGTAGATAAAATTGTTATTTTTTATTTACTTATAAATTTTACTATATTTATAATGTTGTAACTCACTTTCAGTTGACAAGTGTTACTTCATACATCCCAAACTGTAACGGAAGTTTTAATGCGTAGAAGAATTTTTAATAGTTGAATATTCAAGTTACATATGTGTATATTATTCTTATTACATTAAAATGTTTGTTCATTGAAATGTTTTTATAATGTATGATTTCAGTTGATAAATGGCATTACGTTCACCTTAAATGAAGATGGCTATCTTCGTTCAGTCAACTACACAGTCGGCACATACCTACCTACTCCGTTTTTTCATATTCAAGTTTTTTTTTGTTTGTCACTTAGATTTTTTCACAGTATATATATTTATATTTTTCTTCACTACATTCAAGTAATTGTAGGAAGCATTTAAATAATTTAATATATGTATATGTGCGGTGCTATTAACACATGTATTTTATTAATTGCTCATCATTTTTTCTATAATTTTGTAGATTTTCTTTAATAATCTGTCAAACGCACGATAATGCGTTTTTAGATAAATTGGTCATAAAAATATTGGAAACTTTTTTAGATATGCTCCGCACATACTTATATATGTGTTTATATAAAACCTATACTTGTGTTTATATAAAATTTTGTGTTATAACTATAAAATAATTTTGATAAAAAAACGACATAATCTCATTATGGGTTGTGACATAGCTGTATGATCGGTCTAAGCAACGGAGGGTTTCTTAGGTAAAAGAATGCGATTCATTCCCTCTTCAGTATTTGTTCTCTAGTATGAAGGTAATAATAAACAAACTGATCTGAGTACAGATGTATACTATTTTTACAAGTTATCCTCATTTGTTTTATATTACTCATATCAAGTATATTTATCATTTGAATACATTTTATCTGTATACTTTATGTATTTTTTTTTTGTATTTTCCAGTTCAATGAAACATAGATAATTATTCCCGACATTTTGCGAAAGATGTGTGTGCGAGCTATGAATGGCAAGATGTATATCGGAACCACAAATAATCCTATTGTATTTTGCCGAAGCTGTGCGTGTTTAACTACTACATACCACGGGAAGTAGTCTCCAAGGAGACATTTGTACTTGCTTCAAAATGTACTTAACAACATAAACCGCAGGCCATATACGTTCTTTCGTGTCTACATGCATCTAATTTAAACCTGCAAAACGGGACGACCCTTTGGTGCGATAAATTCTGCCTCAAGTCCCGATAGTACGAAAAACAAATTACAATTCCTACTAAAAAGATAATCGACCTTATCCGACGCAAAGGTGAGGTACATAGTCTTATATATGTTTGAGATCGATATTGGAATCAATTTATTATCTTAACTAAAATGTTGGTTTATGCTGGATTCAATATTTTATATCAATGATTAATATTAGATTGATAAATATCAGAGAGTAATGGAACAACGTTACTCCAGAAAAGTAAGAAAAAATGAAAGAGAATGGCGATTCAAATCGTGATAAAGATGAAAAAAATAAAATAAAAATCCAATTAGATTCCTCCTTAGTGCCGAAGAATTCCCTGCAAGCTTCTTCTTTTTTTAATCATGGACATTAGGGAGATGGGTAGAGTAGGTAAGTGAATTAAAACAGTTGGAGGTAGAGTTCCTCAAATAAGATTTAGAACACCGTCCGCCATTAATAGGAAATGTGGCGCTTGATTCAAATTATTTGTTTCAATTTATTCAAATTACACAATTATTTTCTTCGTACAAAGAAATTAAAATAATTATACAATATAATATACAGAGTGTTCCACATTAACCGCACCGTACGATAATAGCACATTTCTGAGATTATTTTGAGAAACGAGAAACATTTAAAATTGATCAATGGCTGCTTCCCTATTGCACATGGCGGACCAATCAAAAATCATTATCTCGGTGTCCTAACTCTTACTTGAGGAACTCTAGCTGGAGGTATTGACTGGCGCAGTGTACCACACACTTGCGCTAATCCTGCTCTGTCCCATACAGATACACAGTGAACAGCGCGAGGACGACCGAGCGAGATAGCGGCGCTGCCAACCCTCTCCCCGCTTTTCAGGCACTGTTTGGAGCGCTTCGCTCGTCGGAATCTGACCAATGAGCGTGCGCGCGCTTGTGGTAGTACAACGGTAGCGGCAGTGTCGCCTCTCTTCATGCAGTCACAATTCGTTCGGCTATCGAGGTATGTGTTTCCGTTTCGTATCGAGTTATCTGTCGCGTATATACGGTGTTTGAGTTTTACGGTGCGTGAACGTTATCAGCAATCATTCCTGATACTCTTTTTTTCTTCTGTTTACGTCCGCAGTGTACGCGCGTTGCGGTATCGCGTGCGCGTCTTCCGGTACTTAGTAAGTGACTTCCTGGAATAAGGAGACAGAGAAACGACGGTGGGAGCCATGCGATTTTCGTGGATGTTTGCGGCCACAGTGCTGCTGGTTCTGGCTACAGGGGTGAAATGCAAGAGAAAATTCGACGGGGACTTCGAATTCGCCGAGGAGGTGAGTCTAAAGTTTCAATATAACATCCCTCGTCTCATTCCCTTCGTTTGTTACCCCACTTGTCATGTCAGAATTAGACAGGTTGACAAACCGCTCTTTCTTTCGATCCGTGGAAAAAATATAGGATGACGGATATAGCAATAATAAAAGTCGAGTTCCTGCAGAATGGCGTTTTGCCATTGCAAATTGTTACGAAATCCTCCACGTTTGGACCGCATTTAAAACCGTAATTTTTTAAATTATTGCATTGATTCTCTAAATTGCTTGCCAATTTCTTAACAGCATTTTTTTATAATAAAAATTTGTCGCGATGAAGATAAATGAAGAAAGTAGCAAAGTTTTTGTATGTGTGATTAAAATGCTCATATAGATATTTCATAAAGCATACAGCTATTTCAAAGTGAATATCGTAGATATCAAGGACATGTTGTACAAAGATGATATACATTAGATTTATTCTGCTTTATTCCTGCGCGATTTAGCGATTACCGTTAGCGATCGATTGAATTGTGCCATCTAGCACATACTTTCTATAATAGATTTATGGTAAAATTCTTTATTTACATTATCTTACATTACAATATGGTGATTCTTATCATTGTCCGAGTAGTACGAAGGCTGACAAATCTACCCGAAAGATATTTGATATTAATAATTTGAAAATTTAAAATGTTTCTTAGATATTTTTATATTCTTTATACGTCTGAGTTTAATCAAACGTAGTATTTTACGAGAGCTACAAATTCAATTTTTGCTACATGCAAATCCATATTAACAAGCGATTTTTCTGCATACTTATCATAAAGCACAGCTTTTTCCTTGTCATTTTTTTCAATACTAGATTCCGAACAGACGAATATGTATAATCAAGACGTGCTTCTTTGTACGTGCTTTGAACGTTACAATGTTGCAATAGGCAATTGCAATATGCAGTCACATGGGAAAACGAACGTTCGCAGCTCTTACTTTCACGTAACTCGATCTCGACTGAAATACAGGTTACCTATGTGTATAATTGTTTATTTTATCCGTGCTTCAAACGAGGGTCAGATTATATTCCGCGTATTATTGATGTCAATGTAAACGTCGTCATTCAACTCTTTTTCTCGAGTATTCTCCGATACCATTTGCAATTGGAATAGCGAATAGCACATTCATCGCTGCTATCGCTAACAAAAGCATTTTTTCGCTATTTCTATAACATTCATATTTTTTCGTGTATTTTCTATAACAAAGCCGATGTTTGTACGAAATACAGTATTCATTTATTTTTCGGTTACACTAAATCCAGCGAGATATATGATTTTCTTTTCGTTGGTTAATCCTTTGATGCGCCCAATTTGAGTTTCAAGCTCGCTGTAAACACGAAGCGCGTTTTGTCAGCAGTTTCCTTGCGTGCTGCCATGCAGTAGGTTGCACCGCGGAGTCTGAAACAGTGCAACATCGTAGCAAGTTTAGCGGCTATGCGAGACAAGCGCACATAGCATGATTGATCTAAAATCAACATAGAGACTGTAGAGAAAAGATAATGTAATCTGCAACTTGTACATAAAATAGCGTGCGAAAGAATCGATATTGGAGCATAAGCGAGAAGAAATAGAAAGAAATTGCACTTTTCTGCATTATATTTTTTATCGCAATCGATTAGTGCAACAGTTTCTAGCGAAGTTAAACCGCAGGCAGATTGGGAAAAAGCTATTAAAAAGATTATTATTGCAACCATTGCGCTTTAAACGATAAAGGACAAAAGGATTTCCGTTCCGATGTATTCCTTTGAAATGCACACAGTCCATATAGTTTAACATTGTGGCCAAGTGTTTTATGCATATGAAACTTGGTTTCATTGTGGCCAATAGTTTTGACTGCTCGGAAATATTAGAAATCTTTTCCATTTAAAAAATAAAAGTTTGTATTTTAGTTTCTTTTTCTTTTTATGATGCACTCTATTTCAATTCAACGTTTTATCATAATAACACAATCGTAAACTCGCTTTCATAATTTTGCCAAGTTAAGACTTAATTTATCATAATTCGGAAATGGTTCAAACTTTTCTCGCAATTTACGATAAAGCAGCCAGAGAATTGTAATCGCGAGCTCACAGAAGAGTCGTTGATCCCCCCTCTCCTCGTCACTATAATTTTGCATAAATATCTCGAGTCTCTTAGCGAGTCTTGTCGCTATTTACCGGTGAGTTTGAATGCGCCATTGCCAAGAGGAGACACCGTGTAAAACTTGGAGTTCTTCTTTTGTATGTGCGAGAGCGAGGGCGGAAGAAACGTAGTAACCGTTCGAGGAAACGATAAGAATTGTCGGCCTCACGAATTTCCGAGTGCGAATAATGCACTGCCGTCCTTCTCAGAGTTATTGCGAGCGTCATTATGCATCTCCGCGATTTGTAGTTTCAATAATCGACTTGGACTCTTATCGTGTGCCGCCCGCCGGTAGACGGTCTTTAGATACACCGCGTCGTTCGTACGACCGCCGAATCGATTACCCGCACGTAATACGAAAGAATCCAACTATCGATCCCCCGCAAACATTGTGTGTGACCTAGTGCCTCGAAGGTAAACTCGGGTGTGTACAGTTGGGTGTAGTTAATAATAGTTGTCGCGTGTTATTTTCTTACTGTTTGCTAAACATTTCTCTCCCGTGACCCGTATTATTACTCTGATCATTCAACGTTTAACACGGTCATTCCGCGAGATTGATTTGCCTAATATGAAAATCCTATTTAACGTCAACATGACGTGAGAACATCGCACAGCCATGTTTAGCGCTGAATACTGGTGGTGAAAATAGGACCGATTCAATGCGACGTGTCGTTTTAATCGAGATTTGCATTTGCACCGTGTTTTAATCTCGCGCGATTGCATTTCTTCCTTTTCGTCGACATGATAATTCGTGAATAATTATATGCGATTCAAAACTTTAACAAATTTCAGTTGGTTTACATGAATCGCACTGTGATTTGCAGTAGATCGTAATATTAATTTTTTTTTCAAATATGTATTTTACATTAAGCAACGAAGTAAAATCATGACATGATTTATTTTTTAATACGTTTTTATTTTGTAAGAAATGACAACTGAATTCAAGACTTTTACGGATTTAATTATATTTAATTATATTTAATTATTATTTTAGAAAAAGATGCGCTATCGTTTTTCCTGCTGTTATTATTATATTCTAAGACTAGAAACAACGTACCAGTCGAAAAAATATAAAAGTTTTTATATTTATTCCTTTACATTTTTAAAAATGCTTCAAAATTATTGTATTTAATATTTGTTATATTTTCATATTAAGCTTTATGTGTATAATTTAGGAAAAATTTGAGATATAAATATTGCTAAGATATTATTATACATTTAATCCCATGTGCATGCGCATTCATATCGGGTCGATAACGCTACTGCTGCTGAAACGTCGGATTAAATTAAATTTACATGGAAATGCATCGTAATCTTTCATACCGTGCACGAATTGTTTGTGTAGAGAATTACATTTTAGAATACGGAATGTACATCGTATAAATCGTACGAATGCATAAATCACGTCGTGTTGCATAGGTCTCTTCCCGAACACGATCGATGCGCGCGTATCGATACGACCGCATCCCAGAACTCGGATGACGAGGTGGCGAGACAAAAGAATTTATTTTACCGACAAAGAGAGAGAGAAAGAGAGAGAGAGAGAGAGACTTCCGGAGATTTAAATGTTTTTTATACTATGGTGTCAATGGTACAATACAGTTGTTTGTAGTTTGCACTTTTCACCGCGCGTTGACAGTTCTCCGCGATTAAACGTTGTGCGTGGCAACGTTTTTCGACGCAAAATCATAATTTTTTATCGGGCCTTTGAGGAATTTCTTTTTTTCCGCGATAAATATCATATAACACGAGAGGGACAAATATGCGTGTAAACTAGCGGTAATATTCTTTTGTTTTGCAAACATTGGCAGTTAACGTCACGAAAGATTTAACTTGCTTTTATATTGGTATCAAATCATCTTTGCTTTTATAAGCGAGAAACCTTACGATGTTATTTTAGGCAATTTCGCTATCGTTCAATATCCGATCGATGCTCAAAGTTAGCTGATCGTTTTCGTACGTGATGTTCGTTTTTGAAGCGTATGTGGTATCTATAATTTCCCAATCGAACGCATCGCGTTAATCTTAACTCGAAATTCGGTTAGACTCAAGTCGAGTTTACTGCATCTCGACCAAACTCACTCAAGTTTCTGCCGAATGGCAGTTATCGCGATGTAGAAACTACTGCTTTGCGAGTTTCCTGTCTTGGTTGTTTTTTCAACGATATTTATTAAAGTACAAGTTCAGACAATAGAATATTTTTCATGTAAATGTAGTGGATCAAGCGATTACTTAGAGTATAATCTTATTTTTACAGTAACAGTGATGTGGTATAGTAACTTACAGAAAAATTAAAGATGAGCGTAAAGTTTGGCATAGTACTTCGTGACAAATCACAAACTGTTGGGAATTTGCAGAATTTCATGGTAATATTTTTCTAATCTAATAGACAAAACAAACAGTTCTGATTATGATATCAAAGAAAACGGCTCAGAATAAACTGAAAATGAGACGTCAGATTTACACTGCATTTTAGTTTGTTAAAATCTCTTTCTATTTTTTAAGATTTTAAGAACTTCAAAATTCTACATGAGAGCTGCAAAAAGAATTCTTTTAAAGAAACTTTTTAAAGATTAAAAATATCAATTAGAATAGAATAGGGAAAAAAGATTTTTAATTAACAAAAATAAAAATCTAGATATAATTATTATGCACATTGAATTTTTATAACAAAAAATTGTTTCATCCGTTAATAGCACACACAGAAAAATATCATTCTATTGCTAAGAAAAGTAATTACTCGGCTTACTTTTCTTTTTTTAAGTAACAATTATCTTTAATAAAGAATATTTTCTTGATAATAGTCTTAAAATATACTCATCACAAATTTTTTGATAAACTCATTATTAT